TGCTTCTTTGAAGCTCTGAACYTACTTGATATCATCAATGACTGGTATTAGGATAGCTAAACCCTTGGATAGCAATGAGAAATTTAGTGTAAGAAGGTTGCTTTTGACTTCATATAAAGGCATTAGTAGTTTTACAATTAGCTGGTTCTTACAGGGCTTAATATTCTGTGGAACTTTCCAAATCTTTCAATAACCCATGCTTCTTGTTGGGGGACAAATTTGATGACCTGTTACAAAAGAATTGMTCTATCAGCACACCGATTAATAGCAACAAAAAATATGTTGCTGCTATTTTCATCATCAGTATCATAACCTCACTCATTATAATAATTAATATTTAGGGCCTTGCAACGATCACCAGAATACATTCACCTTCAAAACAGATGATTCACATTAGATAAGCTTACTAGTATTAATTTAAGTCTATCAGTGTTGAGTTTAATACTTTTAGTAAGTTGTAACTTGTAAGGTTATGCCGTTATGTCATCATCAAGCGTTTTTCTATAAAAATACTCACCGTGTTGTGAGGCAAGGGTTTTTTCTTTCTGTATGGACCATAACCATAGTTAGCCATGCATCGGGTCAAAATAATCTGTGAAGAAGACTCTTTGATCTAAAAAAAGAACTCAAAGTTTACGAGAGAACGTGTTGCTTAGCTCAGGGAAAATTTCCAGGAATCGAAATGCTTTGCGTCGTGATACCTCAAAATTTARTCCCGCAAATCAAAACCACACAAAAATAAAGGAAACTCACCCTTGGCAAAGTCGTCCTAGATGTAATTCGTAGTAGCGAGGAAGAAATCATTTTAAATAGTATTTTTCCAACTTTTCTTTACTTTCGAATTCCAATTGCCCGCCCGCAGTTTAACGACCCGTGTCATCAACAAAAACTAATGCGCACGCTTCTATTTTGAATTAACAATGCAGACCAGCTGTTGCACGGGCTCATGTTTTTCTCTGCACGTGTGTTTCAACTAAAAACATGCTTTGAATTTAGCCAATTTTAGATGTTTGATTCTCAATTTGAAAGTGTGCAAATACAGGCAGTTTGATAATGGCTTCAGAAAACGTTTTGTCTCATTACTGGGGCCTCGCATCGACAAATGAAGACGAAAGGTTGAAATCTGGTTTTGGTCTCGTGAATTCGTTGATAGAGTCTCAGAATGAACATATTAAACAGGTATTTAAAACAACGATTCAACGCAATATACATTTTATTCTTTCCTCAGTATTTGCTATTACTAAGTATGTTATATTATCAACAGGGAAACAGTTCAGAGARATTGTGTACTGACTTGGAATACAGTCTGAAGCGACTGTCAAAAGGTCTAGCTTCATCAAGAAAGGGAGCCAGACAGGGGTTTGCTACAGTGTTAACAGAAGTTATACGACAGTTTGATAGTGTAAAAACTGAACATATGATGGCATTATTGGAGAAAAATCTACAGGTTACAGGAAATGCTAAGAGTCAGGTATAGACTTAATTACATGTATTCAAGATATCAATTAATCATTCCATCAATCAATTCATCAGTTAATCTGTGGATCACTCACTCACTCAATAAATGAATGAATAAATGATTCCTTCAATTTATATATCAATTGATCAATCCATAAATCAATCGATCAACCAATCAATTGATCAATTGATATCCATCAATCATTTGATCAATTACTTGTAGTACAATTATTAATATTATTTTTATTTTTTATTTAACACAGGAGGAAAGGGATGCTTATATTGGCCACATTTTTGGTTTGATGGCCATAGTAAAATCATATTGCTTGACTGAAAGCACCAAGGTACACATGAATGACAATAATGTCATTTTGATGATGATTATGATGATGATGATGATGACAGCAATGATGATAATTATACCTGTTATTACTAATGTTAGCTGTTTTCTTTGCAGCCAAGTGAATGTGCATGGCTTGCTGATGTAGTAACAACTTTGAAACGCTTAAGTGATAAAAAAAGCTATATCAAGGAGCTATGTATAAAATCTATTGTTGATATAATCTCTATGGTAAGTGTSAGACCAGTTTGAAACTCCTTGGCCATTACTTCCATACTTAAAAACCTCATTACAAAACCATTGTAGGTTTCCTTTGAAGTATTCAAGGAATATATTCTTCCTTCTGTAAATGATGATATCTTCAATGGTTGGACAAAAGCAACACCAGACTCATTATTTCTGGCTTTATATGTACAAAGAAAATTTGGAGTAAGTTTTTTTGTGCTGTAGAAAGTAGTATAGACTTCAAATTTTATTTGTTGTTATGGACAATTATTTGGGCTACCTGTGGCAGCAGGACAGACACAGGGAACCTATTATCACATTTATATTTGTTTTTTTTTAGAAACATTTTGAGAAAAAAGAATTCAAAAAAGCTTGGAATACWTCAAATATCTTAGATGCACAAAACTTTTCTAAAATGCCAAGTATATTACAGGTAAGTCCACTATTTACATGTAATTTTAGCATTATTAACAATACTACAAATAGCTTCTCTCTTTGTCAGGAGACTACCAATGTTCACCCCAATGTTCATTGTGTATGGGATGAACTTTTATTACAAATATACCAACAAGAGCAAAATTTAGATTTCAAGCAATTTTGGAGTATAGTTATCGATGGTGAGTTATAACAATATCTTCATCTTTTTCATAATAAATGTTTACATTGAATTTACTGTACTCTTTTTTAGATGGATTATTTATATCAAGTCATGGGAAAAAGTATCTTGGTTTTTCCTTAATTGCTAAGATTTTACCTAAGCTAAAGGAAAATCAGGTYGGATTAACCATCCATCCATCCCATCTCATCCAATTTATCCATTCATTTTTTCATTGACTGATGATCAATTTGATTATAAGAATTTTTTTTTTCTTTTAGGTTCCTTTTGTGTTTAGTAAAAATATTGTAAAATCTCTGATAAACAACCTTTCTTCAAGTCAAAATTATCTGCACAGTGCTGCCAAACACCTGGTTAGTATTTCATCACCAAGAACACTGGATTCCTATTACTAATTTCTGATTTGTTCTTTGCAAAGGCCTCTGCTATGCCTAGTGGGCTGAGTCAGAATGAAGATCACAATGTCACAGCCTGTGTTGTTCAACAGCTTCTTGGAAAGTATGTAGTACTTATTGTTTATCCTTCATTGTTCAAATAAATTATGAYTTACTATGTCTTGATTATTTGCTTATTTTTTTCTTTGTCAAATCGTTTTCTTTTTCTTTTTGATAGACAAGGAAACATACAGTTTGATAAATTAACAAAAACAAAGACAATAGAGCTYCTTCTTGGAAAGGTAACACAGCAGTCTTTCATGTCTTGTATTTTATCCCTGTAATGTCAGCTCAGTTTTCAACTTGAGTTTTAAAAAGATATTTTTATGTTTAGTTACAAGGATCYGGATTGGAGAGAATTGTCATGTGGTTGATTGATTGCTTCAAGGCAGGCTGCACCAATGCTTCAGATGACGAGAGGTATATAGTATGTAGTTAAGAGAATGTTGTAAACATTAAAGTAAAACTAGCAGGAAGCACTGGATTCATTGCACYAGTCTAACCATAAATAGYGARRGSCAGGTTAAGGYTTGAAGATTACCTAACCTGGACAGTAGCCATGTTTTTGATCAATGTACATTGGTGTACTGGAATAATGTCCTTTAAAATTGCTATGTCWTGATTTACAGGCCATCAGAAAGAGAAGTGGATTTRATTAGGCTTTCAATATTGAACCAGGTATTAATAAKGTGGGCATTTTYTGCAGRAWTTCCAGGAKGCTTTGCTCACAGTTGTGACTGMTCTTGTCCTTTACAGGTCCTCTCACTTGGCAAGAATAAAAATTTGTGCCAGTCAGGAGAGTGGATGAAAAAYTTYTTGTTCTTTCTTATTGAAACCACATACTTTGAGAAGTCCAAAGAAAAAGAAAAACTAGRGGTATGRAATATGCAATTTAGCTATTACAAGTGTACAGTTAATGGTAAAAATGACTGATMTAATSATGTCTACAGTTTCCTCTTTCTAAGCAAGTCAAAGATGTCAGCGAACAGCGCCTGTTAAGTTTTATTAGAGAACTTGGTTCGCATAGTGGACAGGACAGAGGTAAATCATGAAATTGRATTYTTTTATGATAAAAACCAAAAACTGATAGCAATYTTGGGTGTATTTTATGAAAAAAATGTATGTTGTTTAGGCAAAAAGGTTAGCAAAACTGATGAGGAGCAGGCATGGATGTTTACTATRCTAAAACATATTAAGGTATTCAATATACTTTTTATCTGAAAGTCATTCATTCTTTATTTCCTGTTGCATTTTTTGATATTATTAATATATAATGTAATTTTGGTTTTCATATATCTTGTTTTGTTTTATGTTATTTTAAGAAACTGTTGGAGTCTGATGGTTATGTAGTTTCCACATCCAATTGGTCAGACAAGGTGAGCGGCTTTGTTTCCTTTTCACTTAGCTAACTCACAGCTGAAGAACTTTGTATTTCTATTAGRAAAYCAGCATTTTTAAAATGTTATATTWTCTCTRCCAGACCCAGAAATCGTTTGACAGTGCTATGAAAATGGTYACAAAAATTTACAAAAAGGTAAYTGGTTGTGGTCATTGCAAATAAGTCCATTATTTTAATGGATATTGTTAATGGATATTGTTTATATTGTTGAACTTCCACAGCACAAGGATGGCACTAGCACTGCAGAAGATGAAGCATTTGAACTTCTCCTATCCCATYTGGCATTGCAACTATTCATGGATCCAGAACAAGCAGSAGAAATCCTTGATGTGAGTTTCAGACCCACTCATCCGTTCATCCTTTCAGTCTTTCTCTCATCCATCCCTTTCATTTATTCATTTGCATGTACTTATTTACTCATTTTAGTAATTAAAAAAAAACTTGTTTAAAATGAATCTAGGAAGTCAAGTCTTGCTATAAAAACAGACAAAACAAAGAGAAAGGTGTAGATACAGGTARGTTAACAAGATTTGAAAATCTTTCATTTTGTAATTACACAATCACTCTACAACTCTACATTTATATTATAATATGACGTGTATTTTTTCATCTTTATTTTGTATTTTTACTTTAAGATGAGCCACACTGGGTTGAAGTGCTGACAGAAATTCTTCTTAGTCTCCTAACACGACCATCAAACCTATTGCGACACGTTGTTGATGAAGTATTTACAGCAATTGKGCCGCATCTTAGTAAAGATGCTCTGGGTGTTATCATACAGGTACATAGACCAGATGACAATGATGACCATCATCACATGATATACGTAACCTTCTATAATTATTTTCCAGGCAGTAGATCCCAGGAATCTTGGTGAAGGTGGTGAGAACCTTTTAGAGGTTGAAGATGGATCAGGTATGGCAAAAGTAAATTGGAGTTGTTTTTGGCAAGTTTTTGTGTTATAGCAGAATATGTTGTTAGTGGATATGGGTCTCAGATGATRGGGAAATTAAGTTATTCATTTATTTTATTGAAACCCCAGATGAAGAAATGGAGAGTGAAGACGACGAAGAGACAAATGAAAAACCTAATGGAACTGGAGCAAGTCAAGATGATGATGGTGATGACAATGAAAGCGATGATGACGATGAGTCTGATGATGATGATAATAATGATGTTGATGAGGCATTTAGAGCTGAGGTCAAGGCTGCACTTGGAGATGCTGCTGTTAATGAGGATGATGAGGTAGTTAGTCCTTCTGTACTTAGAAAGATCATTACATGTAACTCCATGTGAGCAGAGCAGAGCAGACTTCACTCTCAACTCTATATCCTACTGAGAAGTTCTATAATAACCTAACCTAACTAACATTAAACATATTAATGATTACTRAAATATAGGAAAGTGAAGAAGATGATTTGGATGATGAAGCAATGCAGAGGTTTGATGAGGCACTTGCTGCAGTTTTCAGAACMAAAGCAAAGGGAACCCAAGAAAAAAAGAACAAGAAAGGTTGGTTTCTAAGTATGAGCTGAAGGATATGTTAAACAGTTTGGTGCAGACCCAGTTTGTCMTGTGAAACATGCATTTCACATTACTTTAGTAGTTTTAACTTAGTACTTTTAACTACATGTATGCTTGCTCTTAAATTTCTTTTCTTTTATATTCTATTCCATTCTACAGATAAATCCAAGGCCATTTTACATTTTAAGTTAAGGTAAGGCAATGAGTCAGTGATAAAGCTATTTTACATTTTAAGTTAAAGTAATGCAGTGAGTCAGTGATAAACCATTGTCACTTCCAGGACTGTGTGCTCTGGCCACTCAAACTKTTTTTAACTTGTTTATACATTTTATGTTTATAGGGTTCTGGACATCATCGAAATATTTATCAAAAAACAGCAAACAAATCCACTCATTTTGGTAAGGGGTTGATTTTTGGTAGGGATCATGTTATAGGAAATAGTATGACAAAAAAGTGAATTTCCCCTCATAAAAGAATGAAAACATTCCTGAGACATTAGTGAGGGGAACATATTGAATTAAAACAGAAMAAGATACATATCATGTATTTTTATAGTCATTGGTTTTAATGTTTGTTATTTAACAGAATTTGATTGAACCATTGTTATCACTGGTCTGGTCCACAATTAACTCCAAAGATTATGGAACACTAGGTGAACGGGCTCAAGGCATCTTCAAAAACAAATTGTGTGCTTTGAAAGAGGTAAGACAGAGATTTCTTTTCCTCCAGTTACTTCATATACAAGAATGTCTGACTGTAGTTTGCACTTCCTTAGCATGTTGTAGTCTATTATTTCTTTACATACATGTATTCTTGTTTATTGTTTCAGCAACCTGCTGTAAAAGATATTGATAGTGAAGAGGTTCATAGCCTTCTTCAAAGTCTACTTCAAAAATCTATGTCAGGTAATGAAATGTTCAAGTGTTTTTTTGTTTACAGGCAGTTCTAGGTTGCTTGAGGAGTATTATTAGTAAAGGGAGGCCAGTAGTCAGTAATGAGAAATTTAATTTTGGGATTTTTCTCTTTTGTCTTTAAGCTCCATCTCTAAATATTGTGACACTGATTACAAAAGGCTGCATGCTTCTGGTATGTCTATTAAAATGGTCATAATTTTATCATCAATAAGTTATTTATTCTGTTTTGGTGTCTATAATCCTTTAATGGAACTGTTGTAACAGATCAGAGTGTTGAAAGGAAAACCARCACAAACTCAACAACAAACACCATCTAAGAAACGCAAGAAAATAATTGTCAAAGAAGAAGATGCTGTTGGTCTTGTAGATGTTGCTAGAGTTGCTGATATGTTTAAAGTGGCACTGAAGGATTTTATGGAAAAAAGGTAAGTCTTGAGCCTGCATGATAGTGGGAATGGCAGGTGTACTATTATATTATCATAAAATATTGAATATAATGTACACTAAAGTTATGCTATAATCATATAATATTATGTTATAATTTCAGGACAACACATCTTCACCCAGTTTTGTTTACAGAACTCATAAACAGATATCAAGTAAGACAACACTGATGATGTCATTGATAGTGATGATGTCATGAATGATGTCATAAGTGATGATGTCACTGATGATGATGGTGTCATGTATGGTGATGTCATTGATAGTGATGATGTCATGAATAATGTCATAAATGATGATGTCACTGATGATGATGATGTCATGTATGGTGCTAATATGTTTATGTTTAATTACAATCCTATCGCAGTGCAATGCAAGAGAAAAACACTGAATGGTGATGTCATTAATAGTGATGTCATTCATGATGGTGATGTCATTAAAATAAAAGCTTTGCAGTGAGATTTCCTTTTTCTCCATCTTTCAGTTTCTTGCCTGGGAATTTGCACCAGAATTGGTGAGAGGAATAAGTCATGCTGTCAATAATTTTAGAAAGGTATAAACATTGATAATTTGATCAAAACATACCATACCATCAATTGAAAACATGTAAAAAATCAATCTCCTGCCAAAAAGACTTACTTTAACTAACTGCATTATTTTTGTTCTTAAAGATGCAAGCTTGTTTGATGTTAACAAAACTTTTATCACATAAAGTGAGTACTGAAAGTTTCTCTTGATATTATATTACAGCTTCACATTCAGTGTTTGGTCAGCCTGTGTATATCTGTTCCCACCCCTCCCTCCCTGAATTTTCCCTGCAGGAGGATGGCTAGGAATGGATGCACATCCTCAGACTAAGCTAAACTGTGTTTCACAGTATTTGTTAATTATTTTTAATCTTTTCAGTGTCCACAATATAAAACTCACATCACTGATCTATCCCCTGCACTGCAAGAGACTCTTCAGTTGGTAAGGCTCTTTTAGCATTTGTTTATTATTTTTCCTGTCTGTAAGATGATTGTCAATAGCTTCATGATGCCCCTTTTTTAGATTCTTGAAGACAGCTCAAAAGAAAGCACAAGCATGAAAGCAAAACATTTCAAAGAGGTGATAAAATTGATGAGCAAATTCATCAAGGAAGCTGAAAGTCTTCAGGTATTGTGTTTTCTTAATTATTGCCTTAGAACTCTATTATTATTAGGAATGAAATAAAGAGAAGGAAACAGGGAGGCAAGGAAGCTATGATTTTAAATAGATTTATTACCATTKCAGTTAGAACAGATCATTCAAAAGGAATCACTTGTCAAGTCTTTACAAAAATCCCTTGATGGACCTCTGGCCAAAAGGTCTCAAGACATTAAGTCTTGTTGCAGYAAAATGATTGTAGCCCTTGATAGGTAAGAACTCTTCTATTACATTAGCCTTCTACATCTGGATTAATATTCCCTAAGTTAATCGAAATGTAACACAGGCCAGCAAAGTTGCATTTTTTGTAAATTGCTGAACATTGTTTTATCTGTGACAGTTCTGCGGATCCTGATACAAAACCATCGAAAAGCAAAAAGCAGAAATTAGAGCCAAACGGACATGGTGTGCAACCTCCAGACCAAACAAAGGCCAAGGTAAAGAAAAAGAAAAAAGGGAAACAAACTGAAGACTAAAAATCTCAATTTTATACAGAGTACAGTACTGCCTCTATAAGCAGCCATCGGTGATCACTTAAATAGAGGCACCACTTAGTACTTGATGTAAACTAGAAACGATTTATCAATTTTATCTTATTTTTATTACCATCTATAAAATAACATCATATGAAATCAAATTTGTAGGAAAAACAATATGTCAATTTATAATTTATTCACAAAGAACAATAATATTTTTTACAATTGTTTATCTGCAGTATGGTATTGCTGACAGAGTAGAATTTAACCTTTTAGCTGTAGCACAGTTATCATATAAAGAAATAAATGCCCAGGCTGTCTGTAAAAAAGACCATGTTATCTCTGTATTTCACTAATTGATATTATGTTCTAAATATCAAGCAGACACAAAATTTAATAATATAATATTTACATGGTAATAATAATATTATCTAAATCTAACAGTGAGGATTCTAGGTTGCTTTGGTTCCTCTCTTGCAAGTCTCTTCTCCTCAGATAGAGGTACAGTTGACCAGTCAAAGGTTGAGTACTGCACAACTGATCTCTGTAGACTCCTTTTTTCAATAGCTGCATCTATGGAAATGTCTTTTACGCTTCTGAAAACATTCAGAATACCAACTTGAGTACATTAGATCATGASTGTTATTGTTGGAAACATATGGAAAAGTTTTTTGCAGTGGTAATTGTTTTTTTATTTTATTTTTGAGGTTGACTGAAAGAGGGTAAACACCATTGAATCTAGTCTCCTCCACAAGCATTACTAATACTCAAAGGTTTCCTTTGTTTTTGTCAGTACCCAGAAGCGGGACAATAGGAACGGGAAAGGGGAAGAGGCTACATTGAATCAATCCACTGTACAAAATAAACAAAGTGACATTGACAAACCTGGAATCGCTTGACACATCATCATCATTTACTTGATTTTTTCCTACAGAAAAAATAATGCATGTGAGATTCATTATGGAACCCTCAAAGAACACTGTCTTTTGAAAAGTGACTACTTACTACTTTCATTGTCAACAGTCACTGCTGTAGAAGGTGGAAAGTACACTCTTTGAGGGGGTCCTTCTACACAACGACCAAAAGAAATTGTTTCCTTAACCATGTCCCGATGTGGTTGATACTTTTTGAAGGCTTTGTCTCTTTCATGTTTTAATATCTCTGAACAGAAAGTTATGAAAAGTTAGATCACTTATATTAAAAACGTAAATCAATAATAAGGTTGCTTAAACAAAATTTTTAAGAAACTTGAGTAAACATCTTGAATTATGCCTGGCACAGTTACTTAAAGAATTTTATCAATATTATGAAAGAAACGGAAAAGTAAGATAATGAATCTTATGTTTCTGCTTCAGTTAAAAAATCATCAGCGTTAACCTATAAAATATAAGCCTGCGTGGCAGCTCTAGGTGAGGGGGAAAATGGAAATCCCCAACCCCTCCCCTTCCGTTTTCCCCCTCCCCCCTCCCCCAGAGCCACCACACAGGCTAATAAAACATAAGCATAAAAGTTAATCCTTATGTCAAGACTGTAAACCAGCTTCTGTTTATGCTTATGTTGTAAAGCAAATACCTGTTCTTAGTATTACCTTTTCTATCTAAAACTTTGAGGGACGGAATGAAGTGAATTACATATGACCGGTAATCATACTCCTGGAATAAAGGATTACCAAACAAATCTGAAAGGAAAAGATAAAATCGAGTGGTTATATAAAGTGTTAGGAAGGAAGGGTTTATTGAGTATACATGTACCACTGTTCATCTTTCTTGAAGACAAACTGTCTTATAAGTGACTTACTCAAGTCTCTCAACTTTTGCATGTTTCTAAACTCGTGCACGACATGGCTGAGTTTTGTCAGCTGGTTGCCATTGAGCATCAGTACTTCCAAACATTTCAAGTGTTGTAGTGCTCCATTAATCTCTAGAAGTAGATTATTTTGAAGGTACACCTCTGTTAGTTGGTAATTCGATTTAAAGCAYTTAAACCTGCGAAGCTATAAAAAGAAAAAACATGGATAAGTTTTAAGCTTAACTTAATCCGAAAAAAAAATTCCATCAAGGAAACAAGAGAAAAGACAAACAACATTAAGATATCTATGASCATTTCTTACCCTATTTCCATTAAGCCAAATTCTTTGAAGATTTTTAAATCTARATAAATCAGTTACTGCCTCTAGACCCCTAAAAGATGTAATATTTTACTATTAGAGGGACGAAGCAACTAGACTCTGAAGTCAACATGAATGCTCATTTTCCAAGTGCAGCTTCACCTATTTGCGAGGTATAATTCCACCACATCTCTGTCCTTGGATATATTCCGTTTCTTAAGCTGCTCCTCCACTTCCTAAAAACACCGAATGAAGGTTTAAGTCAAAGAATCACATAAATTTTTATACGACTTCAAAAAGTCAAACCTTTTGCGATTCATCCGCCATGTTGGTTTGGAACTTGTTGTTATGGAAACTACTTTTTAACTGACTAATAAATTGCGGGCTCACCGAGCACCACATGTTTTCAGAAATGTGTTGGACTCCGTAAATCTTCATGGAAAAGTTCACTTTGCCGCAAAAAGCTGAACATTTCTACTTGAAAGTCGCCTTGTAAGTCAACTATTTGTATAAATCAACGGGAAAAATGAATTTAAATTCTAAAAATCAAATTATTGCTGTTCTCAGAGAGTTTGAAGAACGTGATGATGAGGAATCATCTGTCAAACCAGTTTTAGACATACTATCTTACAAGAAACTTATACTAGAAGCATTAGAGCAATTGCATGGACAGGTATTTCCAGACAATGTCTTTAAAATGAGAGAATAGTATGGAATCTCTGTGTGAATTTATATTACCCCCCCTGTCTCATGTTTTTTCCAGGTGGGAGGAGCACTTGTCGTTGATGTTCTCAAATATGAGCAAACAACATCAGAAGCTATTTTGAGAGTTAAAGAAAGGTATACTAATAATGTCTAGTTATATTAATTAATAATATTCCTTGTAAAATAAGTATATGTGTGTGTAAATAAAAAATTGAATTGAATTGAATTGAGAATTATATAGGCCTGTTATATTACTGTACAGAGCTGGTCATACCCAGACCCTCCTCGTTCTTTATTTGAGGCACTGAAATAGAAACAAAAACTGTGGTTGAAGAAATATGATTTGCTCAAAATATGGAGACAGATAATTTTATGTGAATTTTGATAGTGTCTTCATAAGAATTTTATTTGTCATTCAGGTGATACTTGCTTAATASTATTTCTTTAAATGTTTTTCTGATAGTGGTTTGGTCAAAGTCTGGAGTGCATTGACTTTACTTGGCTATTACAAAGATCATCGCTGTGCATTTCATATCTGTCAGGTAAGGTTAATACCTATTGTTCCCTTTATCTCAATCTATACCAGAGGATACAGGAGAGGGAATACGAGGGGGGAGGGAGAGTCTGTTAGCAGCCCTCTTGGTGAACTATTTTTGCAAGATGAACAATGTCGAGTGATACTTTTCAATATATTTGCTTGTTAAACCACAGGTTTCTCCTCATCTGATGGCATTAGCTGTTGACAGTAGGAAATGGAAACCAAAGGCTGATGATCAAATGGATCAAGAATAAACTAAAGAGCTTGAAGTATCTTTTGTATGGTGATAAAAATAAAAGTCCTCTACTAAAACAAACAATAGGATGGTGTAGACAATTCCTGCTCATGTATACTTTGATTTCTAAGCTAAAGAGATGAAATCTGAAATGGGATTAAAATTTTGTGCTTACGCCTGAAAATGTGAACACAAACTGTACAGACCTGCACTTTTGTACTTAAGAGCATTAGGCAGGAACACAAAATGTTTGTATTCCTAGTCCATAATACAAAGAAATACACAAAAWTGTAAAAAGACAAAACATTAATAAAAAGTAAACGACTTTAATCCAATTGTATTAATTTGCCAAACATTTTTACAATATCATATGAATGAATATYGTAACAAATTCTCCAATAAATTTTCTTGATGTTTGGGTGGCTTCTGACATTTCCTAAATTTTGTACARMGCAACACCTAAAACAGAAAATYCAGTCAGCTTAAATGATGGGGAGAAATATTTAAATACTAGTATATCACACTGAATCTCTTTGTATTCAGAAATATACTACACACTATTGGCCTTGAAACTATTCTATCCGTGTTAACAGAAAATCACTCAAAATGTCAYGGTAAAATAGTTTCTACTGCCATATTCCAACAAAAGAAAACAGTGTGTTTATAGMGTCTACTAGTGTCTAATGGGTGAACAACTTGTATTTCATGTTTTTTTCATGTTTTTCATTYCATGTACCTATTATTTTGATTATCTTGGCTTTTCATGGTCATATTTCCTTCCCACAAATGGGACATGTTTCATGACAACTTTCCAGTCTGTCAGGTAAAGAAGTGTTGCACCTCCAAGAATTCCCCAAGCACTCAAAGTTGGTACCCTATAACATAGAGAAACACAGGAATCCCGAGCTTAATATACAATGGAGAAACTATTTGGTGAGCAATGCTAACAATGTTAACTAATATAATTATGAAGCACAATTTTGTATTCAATTACTAAACAAACATAAATCCAATTTGTGATTAGCCTCTAAAGTTTTAAGCTTATTTCTCGAGTAACATGGCGCCATAGTTAATTTAAACTATGATGGCGAGCTTTTTTGCTACCGAAAAAGACAAAACTTGGCAATTTAAGGAACTTAAASTATAATTGTACTAACCACAATCGTCCAATCTTTGAATAATGTTTTGTAAGTGTTCTTAATTCGTTAACAGACGGCATTATTTCAGTACTTCTTCTTCACCGTCAAAAACCAAAATGGCGTCAAAAGAGAGGGAGGTAGTGCGCATGTCTTCATTTTATCAGCTTAGAAACTGCGGGCTCATGGACAAATTTAGTCAAAACACAAGCGTGCAATGTAAGTGATATGTGATCTGTGCTAAAAACTTCTTCTTGATCATGCTGGCTGGTCGTATTGATCGCTCTACTACACTATAGCAGAGAAAGTACTTATTTTATGTGTTATCATGGAGCTTTCAAGGYCAGGAGTATCTAAACAGGACTGGAGCAGAATTGGTTGGAACGTGGTGGARACAAAGAAAACAGACAGTGAGAGAATTGACAGAAAAAAGATAGCCTACATCTACCTGAAGCAACACTTTAACATCACAAAGTTCATTTTGCAATCAGGTAAAATACAAAACATCCGATAAGTGCATTAACAAGTGATACACAGGAAGCCCACATGTTTGATCAAAGGTATAAATCCAAGTGGACTTCTTTTTCTCAGGTGAAAAGCTTAGACTTCCTCCAGTTGCTATTGCATCTGCATGTGTATTGTATCATCGTTTCTGGAGACAGTTCTTAAAACTGGATAACTCTAGCAAACAAGACTTTGATTGCTATGTAAGTGTGTATTTTATAAATTAATATATCATTATTTATTAATATAATATTTTTATATTAYATTGCTTTGAATATGAAAGCGCCTTGACTGATAGATGCTACAAGTATATATCAAGTCATTGCGCATTATTACATTGACTAATCCCTTGGTATCCTGTCTCATTCATTCATTTCTATTTCTCATTCATTCTTATTCTTTTACTTTAGATGTTGGGAACCACTGTTTTGTATATGGCATCAAAATCTGAAGAAWCACCAAGGAAACTTCGTGATGTCATCAATGTATGTCATAGATCACTCCACCAGGATGTATTTCTTGATGTTGGGACAGAGTTCTGGGATTTACGAGATAGTATCATCAACTGTGAACTATTTGTCCTCAGGGTTCTTGCATTTGAAGTGGCCATAGACAACCCACACAAGGTGATCAGTAAATTAAGGGATTTTACTTAATCWTTTYCATCACAGGGAATATTTTTGCTGGGGAAGCCTAAGATTAGMAGCTTCTATATCCTGAATTTTGCTGCTTTYCATGACTTAWAAGCRCASATTTTGAATATTGTCAGAGTAGKAACAAAAACAACATTTAACARTWATCAATAACAATGCCAAACATTGATATTCTTACTATTTCTATAGTATCTACTTCATTATTTGAAGTCCTTACAAGACTGGGTGGAGCCAGACACATGGAGAATTAGTAATATAAGCCAGATTTGCTGGTCAATATTGTGRGATAGCATGCATATACCTATTATATTGGACCACCAACCCTCCCATGTGGCTATTTCTATTGTTTTCTTTGGTGTACTGTGTACGGGAATGGAAATACCTTCACAGGGTGCCAAGAATGTTTGGTGGAAGGTAAGGAAATGATGTATTCTATCCTTATCACTGTTAGAGCACAAGGCTTTAACCAGTGTTATGTCATTTACCAATAATTCAAAAAGCGTTCTTCACTAARGTTAACAGTTTTATTAACCTTATTCATTACAAAGTAACTTATTATTTTTTACTTCATTGAAAATATCTATATTTATAATAGCCTGTTGTACATGTAGTAATTCCTTTTTCATGGAATGCATTCATGCCAAAGTACAGTACTGTTTGCTATTTATTWATCTCTTTCTCCCCTTTATTGTTGTACATAGAATTTAATAATTAAAGGGTCAAGAATAATATTAACACTTCTGTTTTTTTTTAAGGCAATGTGCGATACTATACATATTGATGAAGTGCAAYCAATCATTGGAGATTTAATGGACTTATATGATTATGAAAGCAAGCCTTTAATATGACACAAATGTTGGACACTTGGTGATTATTATAATCAAGGTCACAAGATTGCTTCAAGTACAAGACATGGTCATTGATTTATACCAGAGAAAGCACGTCAAGCTGAGAACCTGTCTAATAAATATCTATCAATCTTTTATAGAGTTAAGCAGTTAATACTGCATATCTGGTGATYTTTCAACTTTAAGTTGATCTAGAGCAATTTCAACGTGACTGTGAAATAAAAACTACTGCATTTCTACACATGACTTCTGCAGATGTGGATATCAAATAGTAATGAGAGCTAACCTAATGATGAGAGGTCATTGTAAGTAACATCTCAGCATTTGCAAAAGCCAGCAAAACTTTACAGTAAATTCATAAATATTTAAGTGTGTGGTTTCACTGTCATGATGTCTCAAATGCAATATTAAAGACATTATTATAATGGGGGACAAAGTGAACTTCTATTCCCTCTTTGACAAACTCTGGCAGATCGGCAAAGTCTTTTTTATTTCCCTCTGGAAGGATGATACAATTCACATCAGCACGACGAGCCTGAGGAATAAAATATGATACAAAGTTTCAAAWATGTTTCATAAAATGATTTGGAGAAAGGACAAAGGAAGGAAAACAAGGAAGACTACACTGTACAATATCAGTAACTTAATGATTATTTTCTAATTTTCATTTTTTAAGTCATGGTATACAGTATACTTACGGCAATTATTTTTTCTTTGATGCCACCAACAGGCAAAATCTGTATCAAGAGTAAGGAAAGATTTTCCTTATATTTTAAATAATACTAGGTACATAATTAAAATTCTAGCCKAATAATGTGCTCAAGTTTATACCTTCCCAGTAAGGGACACTTCTCCTGTCATGGCTACATTTTGTCTGACTGGTTTATCCATTGCTAAGGACAATAAGGCTGAGATTATTGTGCATCCYGCTGAAGGACCATCCTTGGGTGTTGCCCCCTAAAATACATTAATATGTTATTTATATTATCTGTACATTATTACTTGCATTTCATTTGAATCTTTTTCTTTTCAATACCTCTGGGACATGTAGGTGGATTTTTGCCTTTTTAAAGAAATCATTATTAGCGTCTTCCTTTGCCAGGAAACCCTGAAAAAACGATATTAAAACGATATTTTCTCTGTGCAATTCAAGACCTACTTCAAAATACTTATATTGTACAAAATGGTAGAGTTTTAATAATTACTGACATTGCTTGCAATAGACAAATCCCGCATTCGCTCGGATGAACACGAAACAATGGCTTCATTTCGAGGCTGGAGTTTTATCTTTTGTCGAATTAACTCCAGCCTCGAAATGAAGCCATTGTTTTGTGTTCATCCAGGCAAATGTGGGATTGGTCTATTATGCTTTTTGGTTGTCTTGTATACCTTGGCAAAAGTGTAAGCTATTTGTGAACTCTCTTTCATTACTTCACCAAGTTGTCCCGTAACACTCAGTGACCCAGACCCATGGCTSTCCTRATCTTTCTCTAGCACATCACCAAGTGATGTCTCAATGTATAATGTCGAACCACCTAAAGYAAATCATTGCCATCAAAAAACAATGGTAAATGATATATATTATAAACAAATATGTTACCCATTTATACTCCTGGGTGGAGTGAGGCATAGATAGGTTAACATGTCTTATCCTAAGGACAAATGTGATTGCACAGGCTAGTAATTGAGTGCTAGACGTCAGCTTATTGCTAATCTTTATACCTACATACCTAGAGATGTCCAAGCAAGTCCCATAACTACGCCAGGTGGCGTCWGGTCATAAATTCGATCTGAATTAAACACTGCATTGCCGACATAATCTTTCAAGGATTCAGGTGTAATTTGCACAGTACCATCTGCACCCTGGACAATCTTGAGAGCTGCTTTCCTAAAAATCTTTAAACCCAAATGGTTCATTACATTTTATGGTAATACATAGATGGGAGGAGGTTTTTAATGCTTATTGGCATGAGCTCAAAACTTCAGCCTTAAAAATTAATAGCTTCCAAGTCTGTTATCATCAATTGGTATTCAAAATTTCAATGGCTTCCAACATAKAAATGGTTTCCAGGCCACTCTAAACCAYGATTCTTACAGAACTGAGTAAAATGTTTATTTACTGACATAATACCTTTTCTATATGTTTTTGCAAATTTCTAACACCACTTTCTCTGCAGTAAGATTTGATGACGCTTTCTAAAGCACTGTCATGCAAATTCACTTGTTCTTCTTTAATCCCTGTTTTTTCTCTTGCTTGAGGAATCAAATATGACTAAAAACAAAGATATAAAATCATATAATATGTAACAGAGTGCCAAAAAAGATTGGAAAACTGGCTTTAATACCTTTGCTATTGACTTCTTTTCATCTTCCACATATCCTGATACATGAATTATCTCCATTCTGTCTTTCAATGGACCTGGAATAGTGTCTGTTACGTTTGCTGTACAAATGAACAGGACCTGTACAACAAAGACAATACACAATAAAATACTTTTCACTGTAAATATTTGAATAAAATCATACATCAAATCATTGGATAGCCTTAATACTCATTCAATGAATCACCATCACATACAATATGTGTTGTATGTAAAGAAAAGATGTTTTACCTTTGATAAGTCAACAGGAACATCAAGGTAGTGGTCAAGAAATCCAATATTTTGCTCAGGGTCTAYTAATTCTAGCAAAGCTGATGCAGGGTCTCCTTGTATACCACGACCCATCTTATCAACCTGTAAACAACATGCATCACTAGAATAGTTTATCATCATTATGGAAATGATTAGGTGAAAAAATAGACAAATGACTGAAAGAATGGATGGTTGAATAGATATTAAGACAGTTGAAGGGTCAAAGATTGTGTAAGTTCTCACCTCATCAATGAGAATCAATGGATTCTCAGTCTTTGTTTTRTTCAGACATTGGATTATTTTCCCTGGCATAGCACCAATGTATGTCCTCCTAAAAATTACAAATCCAAAGTTTGACTTAGACAAAATACACCATAGATATTCTAGGTTTTTGGGTAGTACAATATTTCTAAAAATTGCTTGCCTGTGTCCCTTGATTTCAGCAACATCTGTCATTCCTCCAACACTAAAGCGGAAATACTGCAAAGATGATAATATACCGTCTCAGTAAACAATTCAACACAGGAGGACAATTAAATTAAAATTGGATTAATTATTTTATGATGAGTATACCTGTCTATTTAGAGCTCGAGCAATTGACTTAGCTATGCTTGTTTTTCCAACACCTGATAATGATTAAAGAAGTATCAGATTTTGAGGAATATTCTAGTAAACTCAATTCATTTKAAATTATAGATACTACCTGGAGGACCAGTAAAGCAAAGAATTTTTCCTTGGATACTGCTATTGAGTTGGCTAACAGCAATAAATTCCTGTCAAAATATAATAATATAATTTTAAATTGCCATGCTTTAGCGAGTGCCATATACCATGCCTTACATTTATTAATTATAGCAAAATACTGCTAGTGTATACTGTTATGACAGACTAGTTACTGCTTTCAAATGACAGACTCACTAAGATCCTATCTTTAATATCCTGCAGTCCATAATGATCCTCATCCAACACTTCCTTTGCACGTTTGATATCAAGGTTTTCTTGGCTGTGGATTCCCCATGGTACACTTGTGAGCCAGTCGAGATAATTTCTTGTTACACTATTATTAACACATAAATAGTTCATTGGCACAGTGAGGACATACTTACATATTACCCACCATCCCTTATTTACAACACAACTGCAGACTTGGAGTTTTGTTCACATTAATCATAAAATTTCTAACATATCATAGCTTTCTGTCTATATACTAACTTGAATTCTGATGAGTGATTATCAAGAAATGACAGTTTTCCAAGTTCCTCTTCGATAACTTCCATGGCATGGTTTGGGACWARAAGGTCTTTGATTCTATCMCGAAACTTCTCTCCAACAGCTTCCTTGTCATCTTTTTCAAGYCCAAGCTCCCTTTTGATWATTTTCAACTGCTCTTGGAGAAGAAACTTTTTCTGGTGCTTATTTACTTTCTCTTCAACCTTTCAAAGAAATGACACATAATTAGTTACATGCAACATGCTATTTAGTGCAAACAGAGGAACTACATGTACATATAGCATGTCTGAGCAATGAAAAGGTATAGTACACTTGATACACATTCGATACACATTCTACCTACTCAATACAAACACTTGGTACATTCAATACACATTCTAGCAACTCAATACAAGTAATCATTTCAACCAATACCTCRTTTCCAAGTTGCTGCTGTAGCATGCAGACTGCAAGCTCTTTTTTCAACAGTTCTAGAGTTAATCTCAGCCTTCTTGGGATGTCTGTTTCRTCTAGGACTTCCTGAAGTTGATTGGAGTCTGCACTAGTCAGAGCAGCACCTGGTGTAAAATAAATCATTTATCTTCATTATTACCATCATTCAGAATGAATTTCTACTGACTTTTATCCTTTAGAAAACAATCCTTTGAGTGTTTACTTAATTTCATGGAAGAAAATTTTATAAAATCCTTATAGAAAGACTTTATAGATTGTTTCACATATTATAAATATTTCCAGTACATACCAAAGTCAGACAAGTGAACWGGATTGTCAACTACTTTTTTTCCACCCTCAATGAGCTGAGCCAAAAACTCTTTGTACAATGGATTTAATGATATAATTTCTTTTATCGTTTTTATCATCTCTGCTGAGAGGGCCTGGAAAAAAGTGCTTTTTAGTATATTTATCTGTATGGCTGGATTACTAATGAAAGCAAGCACATATTTCTTGAGACATAAAATTAACTTCATGTCTTTATCTTCCCTTTTTTTCTGCTAAAAGTATGTTTCTCATCTACATTACAATCATATACTAGATATCTTATGTCATATGCATTGATTCCTTTGTTTTCTGCTTGGAAACCATTATTCCATGTTTCTCTACATGTATGACAGCCAAGTTTAAATGAGAAAATGCTATCCATCTCAGTAAAAAAAACAATGGTTAGTTTTCCTGTTAGTACCACAGCTGATCTTTTCCTACATGCTAACCTTAATCTCCTGGGTCATCTTGTATGGCTGATGCAATACATTTTCAACTCTAACCATWAGTATTGGTTTTAATGCATCACTAAGGCTTTCAGTTTCATCTTTGCCTGTTATGGCATCAGTACTTTCCTTAGCATTATCAGAAACATCCACTGATGTCTCATCTTTTACAMTGTTGACTGGTGTTTTCTTGGACAATTCAACATGATCAGGATCTGCAGCCACTTCCATTATCTGAATTCTATAGGCAAATNAAAATGCAATTTTCAAGGACTATTTTTTAAGATAGTTTTTGACTTTTGCAGACGTTTCCAGAGGCAACTTTCAAAAATAGCCACATTTCAATGTCAATTCCATCAGATTCAAGGAGTTTTCCAGGAGTTTTAGCGATTTTCCCAATTTTCAAGGGATTTTCAAGTGCCCAGGTTGAAAAACAGTTTTCAATTCCAGGACTTCTCAAGGATTTCAAGGAGTATCACGAACCATGGCTTTGGTACCTATTGGAATACATGAGTTTTTTGTTGGAAAACATTACAAAAACGTACCTCCTGTGGCCAAGGATCACCATTCTCATTTTGTTTCCCATGTCATGAACTTCTGTTATCTGGACAAAGGCTCCAATCTTGTAAATCTCATCTAGCTTGGTGATAACTTCAGCTTCATTGCTGTACGAGAGAAATCATGAGAGAGAACAAAAATAAAAAAAACGCAATGAAATAACTGTGATGGTTAATTCACCAGATAGAAATGTTTTCAGAACAAAAATTCTTGATGAGGAAATGATTATAATGGTGATGATAGTGAAGATTATATTCACCTGTCATCTTTTTTCAAAAATGCTCCTGCATAGGGCTGTGCATGTCGGCATTTTAGCCTSAGCAAGTCCATCAGGGATTTGTCACTTATCTGAAAATAAAATATTCAATAATAAACAGATGGGTTGCCTGTGTTGCACTCGATGGTTCTCTGTGGAAATGACCAAAGGAAGCCCAAAAAGGTTGGAATGCTAATCATACCTCTAACATTTTCACAAAACGAGGAAAAACTGGATTCCTGTGGACTGGGATGACAGGTACTTCTGGGAATACCTCAGGWACYGTCATCTGTGCAAGTGCACCCTGGGAAGGGTCGACATTGGCCGCTGTCTTGTCCTCAATCACTGGTTCATGTTCATCTTTGATGTTATTACCACCATTGTCATCTTGGTTGTCATTATTACTGCTTTCTGATGAACTACTATAAAACATCTTAATATTATTCAATTTCACTTTTATCAGCCTTGATCCTACATGCTTTTTTCACATATAACTTGATAAATCATGCACTTGTTCTCATTACCTTGAGTTACTGTCATCATTTTTTTGGGAACCAGAATACCTCCGTGGATTAAACCAACTGCTGAAAAACAAAGAAATATATAATTTTGCATTGTCACATTCTATAATCAGGTCCAGTCTCCCAAGAGGTGTTACGTCATACACTGAATGAAATAAAATAATAAAACTTCGAAAAATTTCCTATTTATGCTCAAACAAGAAATATCAGATCAAATTTAGAAATAATTGCATTGAAGTCAAGCTTATAAAATACCTTGTAGATCTCGTTAGGAATATAGTTTGACAGCACACGTTATGAACAACATKGCGATCGCTTGTATTCAAGACTCGATAAAATCCTCCAGAGGCCGCTGATGAAGGATTGCTTGCAGTGGTAAATAGAACAGAATTTCTGCTTATCCGGCAACAAGAGTTTGGCTTTCTATGTAAAGAATTGAGGCTGCACCGAAGCCCCAAACGCACCCCACACCGTACACGACCCACAGTCAACATAGCTAACGCACGTGTAACATTGTATTTTTTGCCAGCGGTATGCAAATTTACGTTATGCGCACGAGTGGCTATCTGCAGCATGGCAATTGTGGTGAAAGTTGTTTGAAGTTGTCGAAATTATCCACAAAGACGACTCCATTTTTGACCTAAATTTGTTATTTATTCGACTTCCCTTATCGACGATGAGTGGAAAGATATATTGTGGTCGTTTAGCACCCACTTGTACGGAGAAAAATCTCGAGGATCTTGTGAAAGCGTTTGGGAAAGTTCGCGAGGTGGATTTCAGAGAGGGTTTTGCATATGTTGTGTTTAAAGAGGCTAAAGACGCCGACAAAGCTGTCCAAGCCTTGAATAACACGCATTTCCTCGGGCAAAGTATACTAGTAGAGAGGGCCAAAGAAGCTAGAAATGGTGTTGGAGGGTATACCGTTGCGGGGGGTTTTACCGCTCGCACCAAGCAAATGGGACCCCCTACRCGGTCTGAGTTCCGCGTCAGAGTAGAAAATCTTTCAACTCGCGCGAAATGGTTGGAGTTAAAAGAGTTTATGAACACTGCCGGAGAAGTTTGCTTTGCTGATACGCATAGGAGAAGGCCAGGAGAAGGTGTTGTAGAGTTCACTACGGAAGAAGACATGAAAAGAGCAATACAGGGCTTGGATAAAAAAGAATTCTATGGAAGGAAAATTAGGATTATAGAAGAAACACCTAAAACGAAACCCTCATTATCGAGATCTAGATCAAGGTCTCCATCAAGATCAGATATTAGAAGACAAAGGAGATCAACGTCAGGAAGCCGAAGACGGCGTTCCCTATCCCGGTCCCCTAGGAGAGAGAGGTCTGGATCAAGAAGTAGGGTCAAAAAGCAAAGGTCACGATCTCGATCAAGGAGATCAAGATCTAAGAATAAGAGGAAAAGCAGATCAAGATCAAAGTCTTTGTCTAGATCCCGATCTCGGTCTGGTTCCAGATCAAAGA